CTACAACCTCCCTTGGCCTGACTTAGTTTATCTTTTGTCTGTCTTCGTCTCAAAGCTCATCTGAAACATGTCCACCATGGCCTACTGGTATTTAAAAATGCCCATGACATAGCTTCCAGAATCACAGCAACATACGAGGAAGAAGGATATATGTACTACTTCCGAATATTTAGTCACTGAAAACCTTATGAATAGCAGTGAAATCCTGTCAGATATAGTGCCGGAAAATGAGCCCCTCAGGTTGGAAGGCACTCAAAATGCGACTGGGGAAGAGCTGCCTCTTCAAAGTAGAGCTGACTGTGATGATGTGAATGGAGTAAAGCCCACAGGACCTTCATTTGCTGATGGGGCACTCAAAATGAAGAGAAACAGCTGTAAACATCCATTAATAATTGGAATATGGAATGCATGAAGTATGAGTCTAGGAAAATTGGAAATTGTAAAAAAAGAAATGGAACACATAAACATCGATATCTTAGGCATTAGTGAGCTGAAATGGCCAAATTTGGAAGAGGTACAGCCAGAATGCTCCATAGGAGCCAAGATGGCAAGAGTTTGTCACCTATATTTCAGACATATTATCAGGAGGGACCAGTCCCTAGAGAAGGACATCATGCTTGGTAAAGTTGGGGGTCAGAGAAAAAGAGTAAGACCCCCAGCAAGATGGATTGGCAAAGTGGCAGCATCAACGGGCTCAAGAGTGGCAACAATTGTGAGGTTGGCCAAGGACCGGGCAGTGTTTCGTTCTGTTGTGCATAGGGTCGCTATGAGTAGGTACCGACTCGATGACACCTAACAACAACAATGGACCTGACCTTGTGTGGTGCTGTGGGCTAATGTGCTGGACTGCAAGGTTGATTTGAACTGCAAGGTCAGTGGTTCAAGCTCACCATCTGCTCCTTGGAAACCCTACATAGGGTTGCTGTGAGTTGGAACAGACTTGACAGCACTTAACAACAACAAAGGCCTGACCTTTGGGTCTGTGAAGCCAATGGATCCATGTAGCAATTGCAGACAGATAACTTCTAAAGAAGAGTGTACATCAGAATTACTAGAGAAGCTCTAAAAAAAAAAAAGGATAAAACTACTGTTGGATTGAACTCCTGCTAGTGTCAATCAATAGATCTAGAATGGAGGCCAGATGAATGAGGCTGCCATAACTCTGTTATTGCCACCTGCTGGGTGGATGTTAGTTGACAGACAGGTTGTGTCTGGGATGACTGGCAGGTGAGAGCTGTAGGGGTGTGACTGTTCTAACTGCAAGATCAGGGGGCATCAAGTAGGAGTAGGAGTATCGGCAGTGGGTGTACAGGGTAGGACTGTAGTCTGAACATCTTTCCATAGTACAGTCGCTGATTTCATAGCTCAAATATTATCGCCACCTTTTGATATTTCTGATAGTCAAAGGCAGTGGGGATAGGGATGAGATTTTCCCAGGGATAGATGTCATAGGATTTAGGTTTTAGGGAAGTTAATAACAAAAGCATTATTTTCTAAGAAGTATTTGTCCAAATACCAAAATGCTGCCTCTTTGTCGTCACCCTGTTTAGAAGCTGAGGAAAAAGACTATGTATTCATTAAGCCCTATAAACACAAGCTTTTGTTTTTGCTCTGATACCTGATACAAGTCTTTGATGGACAGAACGTGTTTGTTTTTTTCCCCCTCCCAGTTTGCAGGGCAGAGTTGCCCAGGAATAATCCTTTAAGGCTGCAGGAGTTTAAGGAATAATCTTAGTCCAATCATCTTTTGGCAGTCCAATAATCTAATTCCAAAGGCAGAACTTGCTCCTTATTCATAAGCAGGGAAGTGACTTTTCGGATGACTGATATTGCCAATTCCATCCCTGTTTTGGGTGACTTCTTTATCATCAGGAAGAGTGAGTAACGGGTGAGTAAGGCAGAAGGGAATTTCAGCAGAGCACCTGCCTGCCTGCTCTCCCTGCTCCCCACCTGCAGAGTGGTGAGGTCTGGGTGTTGCTGGGTAGTTGCAGATGACTCAAGGACTCACTTGGTGCAGAGTGAATAAACAGAATATATCCAAGCTCTTTGTGATAGCTAGGTTGTGTCAGATCCCTCTTTGAGGATCTTTTACAGGTGAAGGTGATGTCTGCACTTGAGGGACCCCAACTCTCTTCTCCACCAGCCCTGCCCCTGCTGAAGCTCATCCTGCACATTCTCATACTGGCTCAGTCGACCTCTACTCCTTCCTGGATTAAGGAAGATACCACCAGCTTGTAACAACTACCCTAGGTGGTGACAGCAGAGTGTGCTTATTTTGTTCCTTGTCCTCAAACCTCTTTCAGCATAAGGAAAGAATAACAACACTGAGTTGAGAAGAATACTTTTCTCTCCAGTAAACATCCTTTCTTTCAGAAAAGCAAGTGAGATTATTGTTTGCACCTGGCTACGTACTAATGCGCGAAATGGTTTCAGGCAGCGCTATCGTGAGACCAAAATCTGACCTGCCATGTAGCTGTACTTTAGTGAGCTGATTAATTATTACTTTTGCACATCTGGGGAAGCAAAACATCCAGAGGTGTGTTTCATACAGTACAGGCCATTGGGAGGTATGGAATCACTGTCCTGTTTCTATGATCTAAAGAATACACGTAATACTGAGTTTCTTCTGCTGCAGAAGGGAGTCTCTTCCAGCTCTGGAAGCTTCTGTCTGTTGGCCTTCACACAGCCTGGGCAGTCAGCCATTGAGGCTGTTGCCACCTCAGCCTCTGGGAGACTCCTGGACATAGAGTCAAGAAAGCAAGAATGAGAAGATGGACTGCCCAGATCATTGGAAAGTACAAAGAAGGTGTTAGGGTGGCTGAGGTGGCTGCAGAAAGCAGAACCGTACACTGACAAGTTGGAGTCAGGGTGTGTGCACATACTAAACCAGCTGTGCATCTAACCAGTAAAGCTGAGTTTGGATGCAGATACTAGAGTCTATTTGTGCTTCCTGAGGGGACCTCTCTAGGCCTGCCACAGGGCCCTGCAACTGCTGGTCAGGCCTGTTTTGGGAAAGATGTTCCAGGTGTAGGATGTGGTGAGGAGGCCAGTGTTTCACTGCCTCTGCATCTGTATCCTATTAGGACTCTTCCCCTGTGGACTGAAGGCATCTTTTTGGAGAAAGCAGAGTTAGTCACTGCGTGGGAAACAGGCTAGCGTGGCAGAAGTACAAAAAGCGCGTCACAAATTACCATAAAGCTAAAGAGTCAGTTCACTTGGCTGTTTCAACACCAGCTGATTGTGAATGAATGAAAACTAGCCTGGTTCTTCTAGCCAAGTTTCTGGCCTTTGGTTTTACTTAAAAAAATAAAGCTTCTTTTAAGACTTCACAGAGTATCAAAGGCAACCCTAACTCCCTTGCCAGGTGGGAATAAATCTGACTTAGAAATAATGTCCTGAGTGCTAAAAAAAAAAAAAAAAAAAAAAAAAAAGAAAGAAAGAAACCAAAAATGTGTTGTAACAATACTGCCTGTGGCACAATCCACAGGAAAGCAGGGTGAGAATGGTTGTATGTAATCCCTATCACAGAACTGTATATAAAAAAAAAAAAAAGTAATAAGTGGAGATATAGTATTTTGATACAGGAGGTCCAGACTCAGGTTATGTTGTGGAAGACTAGTGGGGAACAGACAGTGGGTGCTTGGGGAGGCTTTAATCCCTTCAATCTGAGTAGGTCTGTTGTATTTCTAAGGACTATAGTACACCACCCTCTCACACAGGGACTGTTCATATACAGGTGTCAGTCCCATTACAAAGAGCATGATTTCTCAATAGCACCTACTCATGTACGGTTTGTACCGAAAAAGAAAAAAAGAACGTCATTTAGTTTGTGTCAAAATACTAATTCCCTTGGGTGCTGTGCTTTCTTTCTGAGAAAAATGCAGCCCTTAAATGCTCTATGTGCTTTCTTGAGCTCATACCATAAGCCTAAGTCTGGGAAAGGTACCAACTCTGGCTCAAGAACAGAAAAAAGAAAAAAAGAGCTGGGGTCTGCATAGTCCCTCTTGGCACTGCAGTAACAGCAGAGGCCCTTGTTCAGTCTCCCTCCAAATCTGTGGGCATTTTCTTACTTTCTGAGAAGATAACTAATATCTTGAGTTGTTGTTGTTAACCATCAAGTTGGTTCTGGCTCATAGCGACCCCACATAGGGTTTCTGAGGAGCAACTGGTAGGTTTGAACTGCCGAACTCTCTACACTAACCCTACGGTTATCCTACAGTGCCACACCAGGACTCCAATATCTTGAGCTAGTACCGGGGGAAGACAGTCTGGACAGAAAGTCCATAGATATTGCAAATAAGGGTACTACTGCATATAAGTACTCCTGGTATGGACTGCGAATCAAAGGTTGGCAGTTCAAACCCATCAGCTGTTCCTCAGCTATAGGGGGTCGCTATGGGTTGGAACCCCTTGATGACACTTTACAACAACTCTGTATATAAAGAAAAAATGTATCACACAGAAGGAGCTAATATCCACTTACACTCAGGCCCATTAAAATACTGTTCCCTCTGCTCAGAACAATTTTACCCATACTCTCTGCCTGTCAGATTTACACTTGAATTTCAGCTCTCAGCTCAGAAAGTCTTCCTGACTACTGTAAAGCTTAGACTTCCCTGCCTTTATCATCCATTAGACTGTGTCTTATCACCCTGATTTTTTCATAATTTATAACTATATGTTTATTTGATTCATATCTGTTTTCTCCACTAGATTGTAAGTTTCATCAGGGCTTTGTTCCTCAGCACTTAGTACAATGGCTAGCACCCAGAAATGACTCCACATACACCTGCTCAAGGAATGAATGAAGTGGGTGGTGCTCCGCAATGGGAGGATCACTGGGAACTGCTGGGCTTTTGCTTGCTGCTAAGAAAACCCTAGGGAATGGGGGAATGAGAAGAGAAGGAAGAGTCAATGTGAGCATCAAGGGCCACTGACACATGAGGAGGCAGACGGCTGGACTTCCTGCACGAAAATCTGCCAGGCAGGAGTTAGCTTACTTCTGTAAGGAGCCTTTCCATGGAGTTTTTGTCTCCTCTGGGGTGGTAATTCTGTTCGTCACCACACTGGGTATGAAAGCTTTTGCAGGGAGTACTGAAATATTTGGCCATGCGTCGGATTGTTTGATTTTCCTCTTCAAATGCCTTCCATTGCTTCAGCTGTTAAATAAAAGAACACATGTTATTTATTTAATTACACACCCCAAAACACATTTTTTTACTCTTTCTCATAAACACCATGACAGTGTCATAGATACACATATGCTCAGAATGTTTTCTCCTCAAAATGATACCTCACTCAGGAAAGCTTGAAGACAAAAATGCCAGAAGGTAGGGGGGATGCTAAGGTTAGATAACTTTATGAAGCGCCAAAGGAAGAAGATAAAATACAATCTTAGGTTGACCCATTTACCTTCCCATTGCTGAACCAGTCAAAGAAAACCAGGGTTGAAGTACACTTCCAGAGCCATAGTCTAAAGCGAGAGTTTAGGTGGCATTCCAGAGTTGAGCAATCTAAACACAGTGTGTTCCAAATGAAACTGTTTCTAGTTGCATGCAGCTGTTCTTAATTACTTCTCATTTGTTGAGTAATGGAGTTGAGTAATGGTGTTAAGTAATGGTGAGTAATCAATACTCAAGGCTCCGACAGATAGGAAGCCACAAATGTCAATAAGAATGACATAATGTTAGATTCGAGATCTGGCCATCTCTTTTTGACAGATGAGGAAAGACTTAAGAGGAAAGATGCGACTTGTCCAAGCTCCTACAGCTAGTTAGCGGCAGAACCTCAGGGTGCTCTGTCACCTCAGCAAGCCCTTAGACAAGTGATGATACTAATTGCAGGATCCTAGAGAAAGGTTTTCAGGAGGAAGTGGTCTTGAGGAACAATCTGTGAAGGCATGGGCTGGTTTAATATAACAAGGATGGAGTTGGCATAGAACTTTCACAAATAGGAGTTATGCGCCTGAGACTTTTGGATACTACCGCTACCCGGTGAATGATGGTGATGTGAATGACAAGGTAGGCCACAGTATCCACCCCAAGAATCTCCAAAAATAAGTTTCTCCATGATATGTTCTGGGGACTGTCTTAGTTTCATACTGGTGCCAATAATCCAAGTGGGTGACTTTAATGAACAGAAATTTATTTTCTCACAGTTTAAGAAGCTAAAAGTTCAAATTCAGGGCACCAGCTCTAGAGGAAGGCTTTCTCTGTCCACTGTGGGGGGAAACCCTTGTCTCTGCTTCCCTGGTATTCTTCTTGGCATTCCTTGGAGATCTCCATGTGGCATCTATCTTTCTTCCAAGTGCTTGTTTGGTGCCTGATCTCCTCCTCTTAGATTTCAAAGGGATTGACTAAAGACACACCCTACACTGATATGATCACATTAACATAACAAAGAAAGCCCTATTCCCAAATGGGAATGTATAAGGTTAGGATTCATAACACATACTTTTTTTGGGATAGAATTCAATCCACAATAGGGAATCTTTCACATCAAGAAATGATGTGGCAGTCTCCACAATGGCCTCTCAGTTAACCTGGGTCTTCTTTGCTCACTCATCAAGCATTTATTAAACTCTGACTACTGAGTTTGGAGTCCTGGTGGGTCAATGTGCTAGACTGCAAAGTCGATTTGAACTGCAAGGTCGGTGGTTCAAACTCACCAACTGCTCCTCAGAAACCCTGTGAAGGGTCACTATGGGTCAGAACCAACTCGACAGCACTTAACAACAATAATACTGAGAGTAACTGAAATCTGGTAAATATCAAACAGGATTCTGAATTGCACCATCAATTTAAAACCACATTCTCACCTATGTTTTCGCAGATCCTCTGTTGGCTCTACATGAGTTCTTTATGGTATCAGAAGTCTGTGTGACCTGTGCTGGGTCAGGTTTCCATCTCTAAGGCTCCCTCCTATCAAAGGATGTGGTTAGTAATTCACCCAGGAATTGATGTTGATAAGTGCCACTGAGTTGGTACCAACTTATAGTGACCCTATACACAACAGAACGAAACACTATATGGTCCTGGTCCAACCTCACAATTGTTGTTACATTTGAGCCCACCTCTGCTGCCACCACTGTTCCAATCCATCTCATTGGGGGTCTTCCTCTTCTTCTCTGACCCTCCACTTTACCAAACATGATATCCTTCTCCAGGGACTGGTTCCTCCTGACAACATGTCCGAAGTATGAGAGACAAAGTCTGGACATCTTAGCTTCCATGGAGTCTTCTGACTGTACTTTTTCCAAAGTACATTGGAATTATTAGAGTCCAAAACCACAGGCTCCCTATGATACTGGGTAGATGTTGCAGACTGTCTAGTGTTATTCTTGTAGCACTAACCCCAGTGGTATTGGCAGTATCATTGGGCTCCCTCTTCACTGGTATAGCTTTTCCTTTCCCTCTCTCAGCATCTCCAGTCTAAGGTCTCTGCAGAGTTGTAGAGAAACCTGATCAATATAGTTAGAAAGACACCTCCAGGGCTTTTGGTCTCTCCCTACACTGGCCAGGTGAAGCCAAAGTGCCCACTGGCTAAGCCCTCCCTTAACTTCCCATTGGTGGAGATGCTGATCCTTAAAACTTGACTCCTCAGGGTTCTTCACAGCTTAGGATTTGAGGACTTATTCATAGCTCTCCAAAATGACAGACACATTCTTGCTTTCTTAGCCTATGGACTATGTAGGTGTGGTAGCATAAATAATTGCCACTAATGATTTTTTAATTCCTAGTCTCTGGAAGGAGCTCTGTGAAGCGTAGTGGTTACTGTGAATCAGGCTGTGAACCTTAAGGTCACCAGATCGAAACTACCAGCCACTCCATGGGAGAAAGATGAGGCTTTCTGCTCCTGTAAAGATTTACAGCCTCGGAAACCCTGTACAGGGTCGCTATGGGTCGGAACCGACTCGACAGCACTTAATAACAACAATCTCTGAAACCTGTGAACATGCTACCTTACATGGTAAAAGGGACTTTGTAGCTTGTGAGTAAATGAAGAATCATGAAGTAGGGAGATTATTCTGGTAGATCCAATAAAATCTACCAGGGGTTCTTGTAAGAGGGAGACGGGAGGTTCAGCATCAGAAGGGAGAAGATGTGAGGATGGATAGAGACAGAGAGAAGATGTCACACAGCTGACTCTGAACACGAAGAAAGAGGCCGTGAACCAAAAATTGTAGGTGGCCCTTAGAAGCTGGAAAAGGCAAATATGCCAAATTTACCATAGAGCTTCCAGAAAGCAACACAGACCAGCTGACACCTTGATTATAGACCAATGAGATGAATTTTAGATTTCTGAGTCTCAGAAATACGGCTAATATGTTTATGTTGTTTTAGGCCACTAAGTTTGTGATCATTTGTTAGGGTAGCCATAGGAAACAGATGGAGTGGGGTAAATCTCAAGTCTTTAACTGGGGACACCAGGGCCCTCAAAATCTTCCCCCATGAGCTTCTCTCATTCACTACCACACTCCTGTTCCAATTTGTACTTAAAAAAACAGCAAAGACTTGTGGTGCTCCAAACATATCCTGCTCTCACCTTTTTATGCCTCTGTTCATGATGCTCCCCCATCTGAAATGCCACCAGCCCTCTGTACTCCTCTGAGACTGAGACTAAACACCCCACTTTCTGAGAGTCACTGAGTTCTCCAGGCAGGTTGTGTCACCCCTTAGAATCCTGTAATTTCCCTCAATTAACACCTGTGCTACAATTCCTTCCATGGCTGTCCGACTAGACCTAGAAGTGGCCCATATGTTTAACTACATGTTTCCGTACGTTAATAACTGGGTGTGTGAACACATGAACAAATGCAGGAACCTTTCTTTTAAAAAGCTCACTGTTTAGTAGGGTGATGTATACAGGTAACTACAAGTCACAGTAAAAAAGATCTTGTTGTTGTTAAGTGCCTTTGAGTCAGTTCTGACTCATAATCACCATGTATAGGGTTTCTGAGGAGTGGCTGGTGGGTTTGATCTTGCAGCTGAAACTGACCTTGTGGTCCAGCACATTATCCTACAGCAGCAAGGTGGTGCAGTGGGTTAACTATTGGGTTGTTAACTGAAAAGCTGACAGTTTGAGTCCACTAGCTACTCCACAGGAGAAAGATGAAGCCGTCTGCCTCTGTAGATACTACAGCCCCAGAAACCTATGGGGCAGTTCTATTCTGTCCTCTAAGTTTGCATATGAGTCAAAATAGGCATGATGGCAGTGGGGTTTGTTTACCTTAATGGAGGAGCAGATAAAACACTTTGGGGTTTAGGAGCGAGAGCAATGTCTTATTTCAGAATTAGCCTGCTTCGGAGAGGGTGCTGAGGTGTGAGGGAGATGAGGAAAGGTGTGTGTTGGGGGGCGGGAGAGGGGGGTGTCACACCAGGGCATCCTTAGGGTCACAGATGTACAAGTGGGCTGATTGCTGATGATTATGCTGGTGCTGGAAACAAAACAGGCATTTTCTGAGCGCCTGTGTGAAATGGGTCTACTTGCCTCTTTAGTGTTCTTGTTAAATGCTGTTGAGTCAGTTCTGACTCATAGCAACCCTGTACAGGGTTTCTGACAAGTGGCTGGTGGGTTTGAACTGCTGACCTTGTGGTTCCCAGTCCAGTGCTGATCCCACAGCACTACACCAGGAGCCCTCTTTAGTAGCATCATTGATTTCACTTGGCTTTCTAGTGCCACCTAGCTTCCCTTGAGGTATCTGTGACCATGCCTTCTCAAACTCCATGGCAAGAGGGGCCCCCATCTCGCTGCTGTCCAAATAGCTTTCCTCATCCACTCTTCTAAATTTGCTCAGCTGTCTTCTACCTGGGAGTACACAGTGTAGGAATACACAGGGAAGATCTTTATTTCTATCAAAGGCTACTGAGCCACAGGGGAAAAATAAATTCAGGGCCACACTAATAAAAACACCTGGCAAGCTTCAGTTAATTCATATTTTGAAAAAGGAGTATAAAAAAATGAATCCCTAAAGCTAAAATACAATAAAACAAATACATTTTTAGTTTCACTTCATGGTAAATGCAAGAGGAGAAACAACACGAGCAAGAAAACAGAATCAGAGAGAAAGCATGGTGGTCCAAGAGAGTGAGTAAAAAAGGGGTGAGTAGCAGAGGGACAAAGAAGACAAAGATAAACACTGTCCACCTGCCCAGTGCTCTCAGGTCCTCCATAATGATTCTGTTTCCACAAATAAAGTGCTTGTTGCTTAATTTCAACCTGGATTTCAAGTTGTACTTTGTACTGCATTTTTATGCCTGTGGAGATGGGAGTGTACTTAGATTCCACAACCGTCCTAAGTGCTGAGGATCCAAACACTGGTGGGAGTAGCAGTGCTGTGGGTAAGACTTCAGATCCAAGAGGGGAAATGGGAAGAGGTTAGACCAGAGAGAGGATATGGTGGCAGTGGTGGCTATGCACCGTGGAGTCGGTTCCGACTCACAGCAACCCTGTATAGGGTTTTGGAGGCTGTAAGTCTTCATGGCAGCAGAAAGCCTTATTCTTTCTCCTGTGGAATGGCTGGTAGCTTTGAACTGCTGACTGTGAGATTAGCAGCCTGACTCATAACCACATGCCACCAGAGCTCCTTGGAGAGAAAATATAAGCAGGGCTGTCAAGGAGCTTGTTGATTTACTCAATTTTCAGGTCAAGTCTTTAGACAGGAAGGCTTACCCCAAATATTTCCTAGATAATTACTTCTGACCCAAATTACTCTTATTCTCCTATTCATTCTAAATTGTATCCCCTGATCTGTTCTCTGTATTTTCTTATCTAGTGTCTCTTTTTTTATCCGTCTCTTTGTTTTTATTTCCTCAATTAACTCACAAATTCAATATCTTGTAATGTCCAGTAGCCTATGTAATGCTTCTACCAGAACTGTAAATTTAATATTTTCATCCTTATTCAATATTTCATTATCTAAAATCATGCCCGTTTCATAATGGTTTGCTTTAATTGACAAGATGCGATGTCCTTTGAATCCTGTTGACAAGACAACTCAGATCTTCTGAAAACTTCTACTTTAGAAGGAGTCAGCTTCTTTAAATCTTCAGAAATGCATGGTCTTCTTCTTGTGAACTGCAGAATCTCTTCATAGGTCCTTTCCTAGGAATTTACAATCTTACTGTATATAGGCTTTCCCAGTAGATATGTCCCTTTATCCTTTCCCACAGGGTCACAAGTTAGTTGCCACAGTTCCAGACAGCACATACATTCAAGGCAGGAACAAGTTAGAAGGAGTGATGCCAGTCATACCTATCCCATTTTCAGGAAAGAAAATTCTTTCTTTGAGGCTTCCCTTCTGGGAGGACAAAGTGGACAAAGCTGTGTCATATGGGCACTCATAGGCATAAGAGGGAGTCCTGGTGTGGAGCTGCAGGATAAGGCACTGGACCAAAAGATTGGTTTGACCTACAATGTCGGTGGTTGAAACTCACCAGGCACTCCTTGGAAACCCTTTACAGGGTGGCTATGAATTGGAACCAACTTAATGGCACTTAACAATAACAATAACAACAATGGGTATAAAAGAAACTGGTAAATTGAAGTTTTAGTTCTTTCAGCTTATATAATGGAGGTGCGCAAAGAAGAAAGGAGTTGGGAACGTGTAGATACGTTGCCAATCAACAGTGTTGGCCACAGGGCCTAAGGGGTGGTCTTTCCAAAGGGTCCCTTTCTCCACTTCTTTTCCTCATCTCCAGGGAGAAACAAGCCTTGCTTTCAGAGCCCTTTTCTACTACATTCCATACAAATCCAGTTCTCGTAACATTAAAATTCAGAGAAAATTAGTTTCTAGCACATAAGAAATATTGATTTTTTTCCTATTTGCTTATTTGAGAAGCTTAATGAAGATCTGTAAAAGTAAGAAGAGTAAAGGGCCTATGCCCATATTACACCATCATGTCCCAAAGTGCATGTTTCCTTTTATGAATATGCTATAACCCTCATCAGACAATGCTTTAATAATCACCTACTTCTAGAAGAAGTAGTTCATAGTCAACTGGCAGTAGAAGTAGGATTCAGGATGGGAGTGTTGGGGGACTAGTGGGATAAGGGGCAGCCTTGCGGGGTGGAGGAAAAGAAATAGGAAGTAAGAGGAAAAGTGTTGAATGCCTAATTCATTAACTTAGATGTATGTGACTGACTCAGGGGCACCCTAGGACATAACGTGTACAACTTAACATTCTTTCCCCTCAGAGCCTAGGGAGTCCTTTTCCTTCTCCTCTGACTCTCATTCTTCTCTGTCTGGTTACTTCAGCTTCTATCTTCTTTCCTTCTTTATTATTTTTTCATTAATCCACTAATTATAAAGCACAGTCTTATTTATTTAGTTTTTATTATTGTATAAAAGGAATCCTTGTGACTCAGTGGTTAAAGCACTCAGCTGCTAACCAAAAGGTTGATGGTTCAAACCTACCAGACCCTCCGTGGAAGACAGATGTGGCAGTCTGCATCAGTAAAGACTTGTTGTTAAGTACTGTGGAGTCAGTTCTGATTCATAGTGACTCCGTACAGGTTTTCCGAGGAACAGCTGGTGGGTTTGAACTGCTGACCTATGGTTCCCAGTCTAGTGCTGATCCTACAGTGCCACACCAGGAGTCTCGATAAAGATCTGCAGTGGTGGAAACCCTGTGGGGCAGTTCTATTCTTACCAGTTAGGTTGCATGAGTCGGAATCAACTGGAAAGCAGTGGTTTGTTTGTTTGTTTCTGGTGAATGTAAAAAGACAAAGAGGGATGTTTTGTATTCCCCTCCAATAAAAGGAAACGAAAAGGATTTATTTACTTATTAGGAAAAACACTTTCCATTGTATCATGTTCTGAATGGATTTTCCCCTGTGAATCTAAAATCCCAAACAGGAAGAAAGCAAAATTCCTTACTCCCAGACTAGGGACAAAATGAGATCATCAGGATGAAGGCAGGAGAAAAGAGATGAGTGAAGCAGACATGAAGGCGGGTGACAGGTCTGTGAAGTGGTCACCAAGAAGCAGGTGCTGGGGGAGTCAGGGGTGGACACAGGGGCTTCTGCCACTGCTTGGTCCACTCTGACCCACCCTCCCTGCTGACCAGGACAGCAAGGGCAGAAGAACAGAGGGGGAGCCAGCTCACTAGGAACACCTGCCTTTCTTCCGACTGTCCAATAACTGGCACTGACAGGAACCAGGAGGAAGCAACCTGAGACATGAGCATACCCAGAGAAGTGTCTGCAGTGCCGAGGAGGACTGGCCCTGCACTATCCACTCGAAAGCATACCTGGGGAATGAAGACGAAGCAGTTGATTGTGGTTGTGCAAACAAAGATGCCTCCAGATGTGAGTCCAAAGACCAGGTTGGGCCAGGAGTGCAGATATCTGGTGACTACGAAAAGAAGTCCAGCTGCCAGCACCACGAGGTTGACCCCTACCATGATGGTTAAGGACTGGTTCACAGGAGGAGAGCTGACGTGGTCAGTCAGGCCAGCCAGGTAGGTGCCGTACAGCAAGAGCAGACCCTGGAGGGAAGAGCAGAACCAGAGGTTCAGGGACGTGGAGAAACAGACTCGGGTCAAAGAAATAATAGGACTGGAGCCAATTTACTCATCTGAGAAACGGGGATCATAATACCTACCTTCAATGGTTTACTTTAAAAGATTTACTAAGCTAGCATAAAAGAAAACCCTTAGGACAGCCCTTATACCTGACTGTTGTTAAGTGCTGTCGAGTTCGTTCCAACTTATAGTAACCCTGTATAGGGTCTCTGAGGATCAGCTGGTGGATTTGAACTGCTGACCTTGTGGTTCGCAGTTCTGTACTGATCCTACAGCGCCACATCAGGAGTCCTTATATATGGTGGTGATGGTGGTATGCCGTGGAGTTGGTTCCGACTCATAGTGACCCTGTACAGGGTTTCTGAGGTTGTAAATGACAGGAGCAGAAATCCTCATCTTTTTCCCATGGAACAGCTGGTAGTTTCGAACTGCTGACCTTGAGGTTAGCAGCCCAATTCGAACCACTAGGCTACTAGACCTCCTTAAATGGTAATTTCTCTCCGTCACTGATAAGTAGTTTATCAGGGGTAACCAAATCAGTCACCAGCCTGGGAGGAGGCACAGGACAGGGGCCTATAGGTAGGCCCTAGCCCTACAGGAAGGACTGTGGGCAATAGGAGTGCAGTGAGCACATCACACTGCTGGTGGCTAGGGCTTCTGTCTTCATTGTGTGGTTTTACATTACATGATGCTCAGGAGCATGTGGAAGCCCAAATCAGCTTGTGGTCTGCTTGTCAAGCTAGGCTGTGTAGCATGGCAGCACCTAGAGGAAGGCGTTCCTTCCTCTAATTTACCCAAAGGCTGCACTTGCAGAACTGCCTGGATGTTTTTTTTCTAACTCACACAGAAGATCTCCATAGGCTTGTAGTGATTCTATGGCAGCAGGTGTTCGTGGGAGGTGAAGGGTGGAGAAAGAGGAGAACAAAGGTCAGATGGAACTTAGCTAATATTCTTGGGTAGGCACAGCCACAAAGGCTGCACCCTCTTTGTGACATTCTTTGTTTCTGTTCTGAAAACCCAGGGTCCTATTTTTCCCTCTTTCCTATAAAAATAAATCTGCTCTCAGATTTCTCATTTGCACTATGGTGAATATGACTCGTAGCACCTTCAAGTACTGCCTCTCCTAGAAGGAGATGCATTTAATCAGAAATCAAAGATTGAAGCCAGTAATAGGTGAATTCAATATACATTCACCCATTGACTATGGGCAAAGTACCATGCTGGGTGTATGGCAGGAAGAAGGGCTACAAGGAGGGCTAAGTCATGGTTTCTTCACCTTTCAAGGTACCTTCTCTGGTAGGAGATAGAAGCACATAAAAGTCCACGTTTATAAGACAGAATGTGAAGATGCCATGGTTGGGTGGGGTGGGGTGGGGGATGGCAGGGACTGTGGGGTGAACTAATAGTGAAAGTAAGGTCAGGTATAGTAGGACACCTAACAACAGCCCTGAAGTCATACATCCTGACTAACTCTACCCGCAGGGATGGCCCCAAAGATGATTAGTGTTATTTAGGACAACTGACTGTGCCTACGAGCAAGAGGTCAGCATAGCAGAGATGGCTTACAATACCCTGAAAGCCCAGAATCCCAAATGGGGCCTGAAGAGCAAACATCTCCTCCTGAGATTTTCAATAACTTGAAGACAAAAATCAGGAGATGACACTTTTGGGTAACTGACATCATCATTTGGCAAAACTGGATTAATTAGTAATTTAATAATGAAATTAAGTCTACGATTTTGAACTATTCAGACTGGATTGTATTAAAATGCCTTAATTCCATTACAATTATTGCCAACGGGAAACAGGTATGAATAAAACCTCTGTACATCCATGACTCATATATGAGTCACATCCGACAGTTTGACATATATCATTCACCTTCACGGCTGTGAAGTATGGGATAGTAGAGTATCTGACAGCCTCAGGAGAGGGTCCTGCAGGTTAATGTGAAGACGGGGTTGCTCTCAGGAGCTCCACACTAACTAGGGAGCCTGCTCTGCTTTTGTTCTACAGAAAGTATAAAGTTGTAAAAGGAAGAGGAAAGGTGATTATATACAAAGCAATGGAGAAAATCAGTTAATTGGAGTTGTGAAGTGAATTGCTGGGGGGAAGTGGTGGGTTTCCGTGATGGGGTGGAACAGTTCTTCTAAGAGCAGAGGAATGTATTTTTCAAAGCTGACCAGGGAGGCAGCAGAAGGTTGATAATATCTGACATTTCTGAGTTACTGCTAGGGACCAGGAGTGGTTAAAAATGCTTTCAATACTCAGACCAATTCTGATTGGATGTTATCAGTACCTCCATTTTACATATAAGGGAATATAGGAGGTTCAATGAGGTTTAGGATTAGCTAGAAGGAGCTGAGACAGAACTCAAATTGGAACCAGTTCTGTCAGATTCTGAAGACCATTTTCTTAACCATTAGTAAGAAATTAAAGACCGAGAACTGATTACTGTCTTCTTTTAAAAAAGAGATTTCTACCAAGGTAATATATACACATGGTTTAAAAACAACATTTCCCTGCGCTAGCCCTTCCCACTTCTAGGCCTGTTCCTGAGATACAAATACATCTAACTCTTAGTAGTAAAGTGGGTACAGTTTACCTTTAAAGGTCACATATATTTACAAGGAGCTCCTAAGTGGTGCAAGTGGTTAAGTGCTGGACTGAAAAGTTGGTGGCTCAAACTCACCGAGAGGCACCACGAAAGTCAGACTAGTGATCTGTTTCTGAAAGGTCACAGTCGTAAAAACCCTGTAGAGCAATTCGAGTCTGCACACCTGGGATTGCCATGATTCTGAACTGCCTCGCGATGACAACCAACCACAACATTTACAGTAACTCCATTGTCTCTGCTAGCAGTTAGCCAATTAAGACCTCTCCCCAAGTAGTCAACAGGCAGTCTCTACCACCCAGGGTTTGCTTTGCTCACTGAGACTGACCTGTTCTGTATCCCCTCAGAGCCAGATTCTCTGTTCCTCCAAGCTCAAAACCAGCTTATGGAAAATCTTTCTGGTGGAAGGTGCCAGAGGACCTCCGTTAGTGCCCTGTATAGGTAACCTGCAGAAAGAATACCCCTATTTAGTTATCTAAAAGAGACAATGAATTTGATGATGAGGTATTTAGTGCAGTTAGGAGAGAAGACTGTCAGACTGGTAAGGGAGACACTTTGAGCATCTCCATGTTATGACCCATCCTCGTGGTAAGCCCTGCTTCTAACCAGAGCAAGAAAATCAGATGAGTGAAAGGTAGGAGGATGTCTTCACTTGAATTTTGAAGAAAGACACAGCACAGGTAAAAAGGGCATTGGAAAGTACAAAGGAAGCTACGTGGAATGTAGCCTTGGCCAGGCTGTTGGGGGAATAATTGGTGTTACCAAATCAATTTAAAATCCGGACCAACGAATGGAAGAAGCAGTGAGTGAATTCTAAATGATTTGGTGGAATACTGAGTGAGAAAGTTCAAAGAGTTAGAAAAATGGCCCCCAAACAAATAAAAAGTAGAGAAATAATAAAAGTCATGGCTTTGGGATTTATGCACCAATAGAGGCTTCTTTTGAGTTCAAGATTCTTACTAGAAAAGACTTCACTAATTCCTGCAATTCTCTCTTTAGACTCATTTGGTTGGTGACCAATATAGACTGTATCCCAAGCAGAGGGGTTACCCACCTTGCATCCCCAAAAGAGAGCAATCCAGACATCAGAGTAGAGGGAAGAACAGAAGTGTGTTTTGGTCAGAGAGCAGGTCACATCTCTTCCTGTCACCTAGAGGGGACACAGAATCAGGAGTGAGGGCACCCACAATTACCACAAACACACAGTAAATCTTTGTAAACATTCAGGTTCGAGAACACTAGGGCATATAGTTTTCCCCTGATATGCAGAAATTAGGTGATGTATACATTTCGTATGTCAAAAAATTAGCTGACCCCTTCATGAGAGTGATTATATATGAGTTGGAGGAAAAAGTAGTAACGTTGGGCTTGCATGTGGATATTTACCTTTCAGCTCTGTCCTTTGCTCCTACGTTGATTAAAACTAGTGCTTCATCAAAATTACAAATTATTTCACACCATGAACCTGATATTTATAAACAGTTGAAATCATAAACTTTAAATCTATTCCTCGGCTCTTTGCTGGAGACATAAAATATTTCCTATTAACTGAATACAATGTACCGCGTACAGTTATGCCCTTTACCTGCATTGTTTCACTTTATCTTTGCCACAACCTTATGAAATAGGTAGTAATATTATCTCCATTTTACTTATGAGAAAACAGAAACTTAGAAGTTAAGTAACTTTCCCCTGGTTACATATCAAGTAATTGGTAGAGCTGGGATTTGAGCTAGGGTTGATTGTTTCTAAAGACCACCTCAAAATGCCACTTCTTAACAATTGTTTTTGTTGTTGTTGTTAAGTGCCATTGAGTCAGTTCTGACCCATAGTGACCCTGTATAGGGTTTCTGAGGAGTGGTTGGTGAGCTTTAATCGCCAACCTTGCACTTCAAATGACTTTGCAGTCCAGTGCATTAACCCACAGCACCACACCAGGACTCCTCTAAACAGTTAGGTGAGGACAATATCCCACAGCTGAAAGTTCTCATTACTGATAATATGGAAGCAGAGGGACGTTCATGAAAAGGCCTGACACAGGAGGAGCAGTCAAGGGATCAGACATTTGCAGCTCTCGATTCTCCTTCTTTGAGTTATTTGTCTTGTGTGGGTGACTGCACAGGGAATGCTGCTGGGAGAATGACCCCTGTGTGTCCCCAGAGACCACCAGTCTAATTTTGGAGCAAGATTCTCAAGAGCTTGAACCCCTTACCGTCATACTGACACTGAGGATCTGAAGGCACTGGATGGGATCACTCAGCACCCATGTCACAAGCAGGATCACATCAGCAATCACCAATGCTGTCACCAATCCCAACAGTTGCAGGTCTTTAATAATCTGCAAAAGAGTCAAGGTCAGAACTTTCCCTTGTTCACTGGTTATATAACCCAGAGGTCAGAGTGTCCCACATCCTCTGAGCTCCAAGCTCCATGGTCAGTTCTCCCCATGAGCATCATCTCCAGCTAGCAAAGATGAAAGCAGACACCAAACATTTATAATGATCTTCTGTGTCGATACCATCATTGTTTGCATTAAAAATTTCCATTTTTATATTCTACCATGTCCTAAAAATTATTTCTAGATATATTTATATGAACACTCAGAGAGATGTGAAAGTTTAACAGCAAACTGTTAACAACCGTTGTCTCAGAGGGTGGAAGTGAGAATGGTAACAGGGAAGGAGGAATAACTAGTATATTTTTACACATCTGTAAATTATTTGACTTAGTAAGTATGGCAATGTATTGCTTTTGTAATTACAAAAATAAAATTAACAAATACACACAAACATACATATATAATTGCTGTAACAGAATAGGAGAAATTGAAAAATTATTAGGGAAAAGAGAAAATGAGAAGAATTATGATAAAATCCCTGAAGAGGAAGGTAAGCAACATTCATGAAATGGGACAGAAATGTGGATCTGAGCTTTTCACAACCAGTGAAAAGAAGGAACCACACCAGTTAGATCAGTCATATCCTTTGTGAGATAAAAGAGAAACCAGTTGCTTAACCTGTAATAAAGAGTAAATCTTAAAAGTAGGAAGAGAACAAAAGATGTATCCCGGTGTGGTGCTGTAGGATAAGCACTTAATTGTTAACAACAAGGTTGGCGGTTTAAACCCAATAGCAACTCCTCGGAAACCCTATACAGGGTTGCTATGAGTTGGAACAGACTTGACGGCACACAACAACAGCAATAACACATATAGGTAAGAAAAGATAAGGAAAGAAAACACTAGATTTCTCATCAGATACAAAGTTTAGTGAGAAGAGAGTGGAGGAACAACTTCAAAGTGCTGAAGGAAGGAAGGAAAGAAGAAAGAAAGGAAAGAAAGAATGGAAGACCCCTAAGAATTCTATATCTACTAAAAATACTTAAAAAAAAAAATCAAAGGCAAAATAAAAAATATTGCTAGGAATAAAGACAATCAGACGTACATAAGCTGAAAAATTTATTACTAGAAAACTCATAGAATGTTAAAGGAGGTATTTGAGACAAGAGGAAATGATGTATGTTTTAAAGTGCAAGTAACTTGCTTTTGACTTCACACAATCTCCCCAGATATAAAAGTGTATGTATGGTATGTTGTCATCCAGGCTCTGTTGGAGCATTTGCATTTGTATTTCTATCAAAACAAGTATAGTTGGTGGGGGCTGGCCAGTAATAAAGTGTGAAGTTTCTAAGCCAACAGTAATTTTTACATTTAAAAAAAAAAAAAAAATGAAGAGGTAACCCATTAACAAGTGACTGAGTTGAAGAATTAGGGGAGGATTGTCCTGGTTTACCTCTAAGGAGGCAAGAGTTGAGTGCAAGTGACTGGGTCAGTGAGCAGCTTGCATGCTCTGTGCTTGTTAGTACTTATCGTTACCAGTGTGGGTGCACCTCATCGACTGTGCATTGTTTCCCTGGGCAGCCCTATTGGCCAGTCCATCCACCAGCCTGAGACAGGCAGCTTCCAGGAAAGTGCACATTACCTTTGTCTTTTTGGATTTTTTTTTTTCTTGACACTACATCTGTTTAAAGTCCTGTGAATGTATGTGTGTTAATAAAATTGCTTTTTCTCAGTTTGAAAAAAAGAGGAAATGATGTAAATATGGAGCTATACACAAAGATGAAAAACATTGGAAATGGAAACTATGGAAAATATACAATTGATGTTTATTATGCAATGTTTTACAAAGTAATTGATCATTTAAAAAATAAAATCATATTGGGTGTCATAACACATGTAAAAATAAAATCATTTTAATAAAGTGATTATTTTATTTATGCAAAAGTAAAATAATGCCAACGATAGCAAGGAATTAGGAAGGAAGAAGATAGAATGTACTTATAATATACATGAAGTGGTACAATATTACTTGAAGGTAGATTGTGTAAGTTGAAGATATAGGATAATCCAAAAGCAATGATTAAAGTATCAAGGAGTTATAGCTAATAAGCCAAGAAAAGACTTAAAATCATAATGAATATTTGACTTATAAAACCTGAGAAAAAGAAGGGAAAAGGAACAAAGAAAAAAATCATAGTTTTAAGCTATTAATAATCACAATAAATGAATGGTTTGAATCCTCCCATTAAAAGGAAGATAATGTGAGACTGGATAACAAAGCAAGGCTCAACTATATGCTGCTTATAGGGAACATATTTTAAATGTAGACACAAATACAGTAAAAGTAACAGAGATGCCACACTAATACTAAACACAAAAAGACTGCAAGAAAATATTATGAAGGAATATTGCGGACAATATATTTGACAACTTAGATGAAAGGGACAAATTCCTTGAGAAGCACAAACAACTAACACACTAAAGGAAGGCAGACAAGGATATATTAATATAAACCAAGTATATATTGGAACAAAAATATTACTAGGAATAAGGAAGATAATTTCCCAATAATAAATGTGTCAATTCTTCAGGAGGACAGAACAATTCTAAATGTCTATGGAACTGTGTTAATTGTTGTTAGGTGCCATTGAGTCATACTGACTCATAGTGGCCCTATGCACAACAGAACGAAACACTGCCCAGTCCTGGGCCAACTTCACAATTGTTGCTACATCTGAGCCCACTCCTACCGCCATGGTGCCAATCCAATCCAGGACCGTTAGGGTCCTCTTTTTCTCCGACCCTCCAATTTACCAAATGTGATATCCTTCTCCAGTGACTGGTCCCTCCTGATAACATGTCCGAAGTATGGGAGATGAAGTCTGGAATCTTGGCTTCCAAGGAGCATTCTGGCTATACTATTCTGGCTGTACTTCTTCCAACACAGATCTGTTTGTTCTTTTGACAGTCCATGGTACTTTTAATATTCTTCTCCAACACCATAACTCAAATGTGGCAATTCTTCTACGATCTTCCTTTATGTACCTAGATGTACCTAATACTGACTGTGCAAAGACCTAGAGTTAGAAAACCAAAAGCGAAGAATACACTCAGTATTTCTCAAACAGAAAGAACTGAAGAAAAAATTCAACTGGAAATATTGAAGCATTCTATGGAGTCCTGGTATGGTGCTGTGGGGCAAAACACTGGACTGCAAGGTTAGTTTGAACCATAAGGTTGGTGGTTCAGACTTCCACTGTTTCTGTATAGAAACTCGATACAGGGTCACTAAGTCAGAACCAACTAGACGGCATGTAACAATTTAACAACAACCTGGGTAAAATACTGAATGGTGAAGAAAGCATCAAAGGAAAAGGGAAGGAATATATGAAGTCACTGTAACCAAAAGAAATGGTCAGTGTTCAACCATTTCAAGAGTAGCATGTGATCAAGAGCCAAAGTTACTGAAGGAAGAAGTCCAAAGTGCACTGAAGGTACTGGCAAAGAACAAGACTCCAGGAATTGATCGAATATAAATAAAAATCTTTCAACAAACTGATGCAGCACTGGAGGCACTCACTCATCTATGCCAAGAAATTTGGAAGACCAATTTATTGGAAGAGATCCATATTTGTGTTCATTCCAAAGAGAAGTGACCCGATAAAGTGCAGAATCTGTTTGTGCAGAAATCATCAGACAATATCATTAATATCACATGCAATTAAATTTTTGCTAAAGATAATTTTAAAATGGCTGTAGGAGTACATTGACAAGGAGCTGTCAGAGGTTCAGGCTGGATTCAGACAGGGACGTGGAATGAGGGATATCATCGCTGACGTAAGGTGGACCTTGGCTTAAAGCAGAGAATACAAGAAAGATGCTTACCTGTGCTTTATTGACATGCAAAGACTTTCAATTGTATGGATTATGAAAAGATATGGACAGCATTTTGGAGAATGAGTATTCCAGAACACTTAATTGTCCTCATGCGGAACCTGTACATAGACCAACAGGCAGTTGTTTGGACAGAACAAGGAGACACTCAATTGTTTAAAATTAGGAAAGCTGTGTGTCAGGGTTTTATTCTTTCATCATACTTATTCATCTGTATGCTGAGCAAATAAACCTGAGAAGCTGGATTATTTTGAAGAAGAACATAGCATAAGGATTGGAGGAAGACTCATTAAAAACCTGTGATATGCAGATGGCACAACTTTACTTACTGAAAGTGAAGTGGACTTAAAATACTTACTGATAAAGATCAAAGACCACAGCCTTCAGTATGGATTGCACCACAACGTAAAGGGGAAAAAAAATTCTCACCATTGGACCAATAAGCAACATCAGGGTAAATGGCTGTAAGATTGAAGTTGCCAAAGACTTAATTTTGCTCAGATCAACCATCAGCACTCATGGAAGCAGCAGTCAAGAAATCAAACAATGTATTACATTAGGCAGATCTGCTAAAAAAGACCTCTTCAAAGTGTTCAAGAGCAAAGGTGTCAGTTTGAGGATGTCAGTTAGAGGTGCACCTGATCCAAACCACGGTATTCTCAATAGTTTCACATGCATGTGAAAGTTGGACAATGAATAAAGAAAACCACAGAAAAATTGATACCTTTGTGTTATGGTTGTTGTTGTTGTTAAGTGTTGTTGAGTGAGTTCCAACCCACAGTGACCCTGTATAAGGTTTTAGAAAAGCAGTTGGTGAGTTTGAACCGCCGACCTTGCAGTTCAAACTGACTTTGTCATCCATCACATTAGCCTACAATGCCACACCAGGACTCCTGTGTTATGGTCTTGGAAGAGACTATTAAAAGTACCACGGACTGCCTGAAGACAAACAAATCTGTTTTGGAAGAAGAACAGTCAGAGTATTCCTTAGAAGCTAGGATGGGCAGATGCAATCTTTCATATTTCAGACATATATCAGATGGGACCAATCCCTGGAGAAGGACATCATGCTTGGTAAAGTGGAAGATCAGCGAAAAAGAGGAAGA